AACAGAATCTGAACTCTGGTGTAATCACTGCCRTGAAAGTGCTCTGGGCTTTATTCCCGTATTTCCTGGAGCACCAACTCCATCTGGAGGTGCCTCAAGGCAAGAAGGATTCAGTTCCTGGTACAGCTGGAAAAAAAAGCAGCCTGTGGCCACACAGAATGTACTGCAGTTGTTTCTTCAGCCGAAAAGAAAAAAAGTGTTTTCATGTTGCTGCATCTCGGGGGAGGAAGAAAGGTTAATTATCCACATGGGGAAAAGAAGAAAATGCTCTATAARGGTGCAGAGGGTACCACTGGGCACCCTCATCCATCAGCAGCCTCCAAAACAGAGGTGACAGCAAGAACAGGACAAATCAAACAAGTTCTTCCTATTTAAAAACAATTATTTTCAGCAAGCAGTAAAATCCCTGAGAAAACATTTTTTTTAACCCCATGGGCTGGGCGTGGCCCGGGGAACCACCATCCAGGAGACAGATAATGCCTTTCCATTTTAAATTAGCTCATAGCAATGTCACCCTGACCTTACACATCACTTTTCAAACAGCCTTAAGCCAAATGCTGTCTCACCAGAGCTACCGCAGGCTAATCCAGCCGGGCTCCCTCCCTGACCCCACCTGCGTGAGCTGGACACTTCCTTAACCCTAAATCCCTTCCTCAGGCAGCACGACAGCCGGAGAATTACACAACTTTTCCCTCTGCTCCCCGAGGATATTTGTCTGACCAGAGTTCATCCAAGGCTGTGCAAAACGACAGGATATTAATACACAAAGGCTAAGGAGGTGCCAGCAGCAGCGACGTGGGCGGTGAAAACACCCACGGTCAATAACCATCCATAACGAAATTCCTTTATTCTTTTTTAATATTTTTTTCTGCTTAGTGCCCTCCAGGTGCTGCAGCCACAGAGATCCTCCAACTTGGAGGCCCAGTCCCATTGCCAGATTAAGCTCCATCATCTCAAAAACAGATGGCTGGACAAACTCTAGGAAGTCCTTTGGGAACCTTCCTACCATTGCCTTAGTCCTTAAACTTGGATAATTTCCAAATAACAYAGGTTTTACCTAAATATTTAATATCAGAAAACATCAACAAAATGCTACACTAAGTGTTTGCAGCAAGGAAGCAGAGGACTTATGGTGCCTGAGGAGTTATCCAAAGCACTGCCCTCTCTTCTGTCCCCCAGTTTTTCTCCTCCACATAATTCAGTAAGGTGAGCCCGAAAGCATTCCTTGGAAAACGCTCCACACAAATTCATCACCCTCCAGACATCCCACTGTGCTTCACAACACATCTGCTCCCAAACCTTGTTCCTTCATCAYAAACCAGCTTCCACAACCACCCAGAAAACCCCACACATGACATCAGGATCCCAGCATGGATTTGTCCAGGTGTTTCAGATTCCTTTCCATGATCAAGCTGTGCCTGCAAGAACTGTCCCAGTCCTAGATCCCAGCCAACAGGGAAAGAGCTTTCCCCTCTTCTCCCTCAAAATCTGATTCATCCTTTAGCAAACACGGGTAGAAAAACAGGAATTTAAGGCTGCCCCAATCACTCACAATCATTCCATTCAACCTCAGACAAACTTGGAAGGGGGGCAGTGGAATGGGCTGGGAGCAGGCTCCATCCTTACCTTTTCCTTGTGCTCCCTTCCAGCCAAGGAAAGCAGTCCAGCCCCTGGCAGCAGCACAGGCTCCTGGGGACAGAGCTGGGCTATTTGTGAGCTCCTAAAGCCTTAATTAATGAGTCGCAATTTTAAGATGGCCAATGAGAACAATCCYGCTGGGCTTTAATCTCCCCTCCCTGTTCCTCCTCCACTCCCTGCTCTCCTGGCTGGCAAAGATGCATCCAACACCCCCAAAAGGCTTAGGGGTGCCAGCCCTTGCTGCTCTGGGATGATGCAAAACAGCAAAACTGTCCCTGTAGGTGACCTCGCAGTCACTGAAGGCAAAAGGATTTCATTTGTATAGAATCTGGGAATGGTTTGTGTTGGAAGGGAACTTCCAGACCATCCAATTCCAAACCTGTGCCATGGGCATGGACAATTTCCACTAGACCAAGCTGCTCCAAGCTCCATCCAACCTGGAGAACTTCCAGGCACTYCCTTCTGTAGGCAATGCTCCCTTTCCTTTGGACCAAATCCCAACACAGCTGTTGCCTCCAGCTCCTGCTTCACCTCAGGTCACAACCAGAAAAGCAAAAGGGAAACTCCTTCTCCCGTTCACAGATCCAAACTATGTCCCACCACTTCCACAGTGGGACCCTTTCCTTCACTTAACTCCCTTTTTTCCCCCTGCAAATATTCGTAACTAAGAGAAAAGACACCTGGGTTGTGAACACATCTCGTTTCCTTCAAAACTGGGCTAAAAATAAACCTAACGATTTGCAGGTGCTTCCTCTTGCCTCCCTCATGAATCCCTTCTCTTGCTGGAGATTTGCAGAGGAAAACGGGACTTAACTGAGAGGKAACAAAAGCCATTTCCACTTCCAGATGATGGGCCTGGACCCTCATGGGAGGAAAAGACAGCAAACTGGCAATTTCATAGAATCCCAGAAAAGTTTGTTTGGAAGCAACCTTAAAGCCCATCTCATTCCAACCCTTGCCATGGGCAGGGACACCTTCCACTATCCCAGGRTGCTCCAAGTCCTGTCCAACCCTGGACACTTCCAGGGACGGGATACCCACAATTTTCCAGGGCAAACCCACGATGTCTCTACCCTCATTCCCTGCTCCCCCATCGTTGACAAACAGCTCCTCCCCCACCAACCCACAGCCCTCAAAACCCACAGGTAAAGCAACAAGAGCCTCAAAAACCCACATCTAGTGGATGGGGACTTTTTCTCCTGTTTCTTTCCCAGTTCAGGAATGCATCCATGCATTACATTTCCAAGCTGACTGCACCAGGAACATCACGAAGATGTATTTATTTTAGGCAGAAGCTAATTTTTCTTTCCCCTTCTGTCAGATTTTGGCATTTTCAGAGCAGCCAATCTGCAAATATCCAGCACAGAGGGTTTCAATCCAGCCTAACCCACCAAAACCACTGCAGAGCCAATCAGCAATAGAACAGCCTGACTGATTAATAATATTAATTATTTCATTAATATTTGGGGTGGTCCCACACCTGGGACTGAGGATAAACAGCCACATAAACCCCTCTGGGCTGCAAAAAGACAAGATGGCCACCAAAAGAGGATAAAGGAGGTCGTCCCCAAGGCAAGGAATGTTTCCCAGTCTGCTCCTGCCTGCTAAATTTGCCCTGGATTTTACTTCGTAGGTGGCAACATAACCAGGGAGCAAAGGACAGACATCACAAGAGTTAAACAAATTAATACTGATTAGCAGAGAGGCTTTAAAGGGAAGGCAAAGCCCCCTTACRAAGAAGAAAAGAAGATTAAAGCCCAGTTTCCCTGGAGCCTTGAGAAAGGTCTCCTGGATTATGATTATAATCTCACCCCTATTTTTAGCAGGTTTGTTACAAAGATGCCACCCCCACCTTTCTAAGCTTTGGGACAGGTTCCAAAAAAGGAGAGAGCTCCTGCCCTGACAGACAGGGAATTATCTGCAGCACTGGAACGGGAGCAGGGAGCTTTCAACCTTCCAACTTTACCCATTCTGGGATTCTGTGAGAAGCAGAGCATCCCACAGCGGTGTGGAGCTGGAATTCAGCCACCTTTTTCCAGGAAATAATTACTGAAAAAGCACTAATTAGCCCCTCCCCTAGCTGCACTCCCGGCTTGCAGGCAGCACTGATGCTGCAGAGGTAACACAAAACACTTGCTCAAGGGCACTGCAGAAATCACTGAGGTCCAAACCAATTATTCCAAGACTACATTCTGCTGCAAACTGAACCCGTTTAACCCACCAGTAGGATGAAAACAGTTTACCCACCAGTGAGAGGGGAAGCTCACACAGGTGTAATTTTACCATTCACTTCCCCACACGTGTTTCACCACACAGGGCTTTGTTTCAGGATGCCTGAAGGATGCTTATCCCTAAATCTCTCACCATATTCCRCAGTGCCCACAAACTCCACCTGATTTCACATGCACATCCCTGTCTGACTTATCTAATCAGAGACAGGGAAATCTTGGAGCCACCCTAGAGCAGCTCGGTGATGGACACCCGGTGTAGATAGAGGGAAGTGGACACAGCCAGCCCGGGGACAGCCCTGTGGGGATTCACACCTCTCCCACCCTCCTCAGCCATCCCACATGGATAACAGGGCACATGYAGGGCTCAGTGGATCGGGGACAGCTCAGCTTCCCTGGGGCCGAGTGTCAGGCCCCTCATCCACGAGGTCCTGTGGGCAATCAGCACCCCCAGGTCGGAACCTCAGTGTCCCGAGACCCCTCAGCCGAGGGGMTGAGAATCCCCATGAGGCGCTCAGCGCCCTGGAACCAGCCAGGACTCCTCAGCTGAGGGCTGCCATGAGGGGCTGAGGACCCTCAGGCCAGGACCATGTGAGGGGCTGAGCATCCTGGGGCCCCTCAGCACAAGGCCTTTGTGAGGGGCTGAGCACCCCAGGGCCAGCCAGAATCCCTCATTCCGAGACCCCAGGAAGGGCTGAGCGCCTCGAGACCCCTCATCACAGGAATCCCGTGAGAAGCCCGGCACCCTGGGCAAGCTGGGCCCTCCTCGGCCGAGGGCCCTTGTGAGAGGCTGAGAACTCCGCAGCCGGCCAGGACCCTTGTTCTAGGCCCTCCTGAGAGCTGGAACGCCCCAAGGCCCCTCAGCAGAGCATCCCTGCAAGTGACTGAGATTCTCAGGCAGCTCGGAGCCCCTCAGCCCACGGCCCTTGTGAGGGTCTCGGCACGCCTCAGCCAGCCGTGCTCCCCGGCCTGCGGTCCCCGTGAGGGTGCGAGCCCCGGGCCCCATCCCCGCTCACCCGCCCGGGCGATCCCCGCCCCGCGCATCCGCCCGAGGATCATGAGGGGAGGGGGGGGCGGTCCCGGCAGCCCCCGCGCGCGCCCGCCGCCACCGCCGCGCGCCCTGACGTCACCGCGGGGGCGGGGCCGAGGGGGAGCGCGCGGTCACGTGAGCGCGGGGCGGCGGGACGGACCACACGCCGCGCCGGGCGGGGGGGGTGAGAGCGGCTGGGCGCGCTTGGGGCTGAACCATAACGGGAAGGGGGGGCTGCACCGGCAGGGCCGTGATGGGGGGGAGTTGGGGGAGAACAGCGCGGGGGGAGAGCGGGAAGGTAACATGGGTTAAACCATGGCGGGGGCCGGTGTTGGGCCGAACCACGCCGGGGTGGCGGGAGCCATAATGGGGCTGAACCATGGTTGGACAGGGAGAGAAGAGGGAGGGCTGAACCATGGCGGCTGTGGGGGAGTCATCATGGGACTGAACCACRGAGGGGCGGGGGGAACGCTCGTGGGGCTGAACCATGACGGGGTGGGGCTATCATGGGACGGAACCATGATGGGGATGGGGGGAACCGGGGCTGGGGACGTGGTTGAGCTGAACCATGGAGAGGGCGGGGGGAGGCATCGGGCTGAACCATGATGGGGCAGGGGGAGCTGTGGTGGGGCTGAACCATGGCAGGCCAGGGGGAAGCAGGGCCGAACCATTGTGGGGGGGCGCGACACGCGGAGGGGCTGAACCATGGCGGGGCGCGGGGGAGCCATCGTGGAGCCAAACGATGGCAGGAGCTGTCACGGGGCTGACCCACGGTGGAGTGGGAACACGGAGCTTTGGCTGTGATGGGGACATGCGGCTGTCACTGCACAGCCACACCAGCACCKCTCCTTGTCTCCAGGCTGTCCCCAGGCTGTGTCACTCGGACCTGTCTGTGCCACCAGGGCTGAGATGGCAGCGAGCCGGGCGCTGAGGTGAGCACGGGCTGTGTGTGACCCACGGGGACAGTGCTGGGTCTCCCTGCAGGACGGGGCTCGTGTCAGCCCCACGGTGACAGCTGCCCCTCTGCCACCCTTGTCCCAGCAGTGTCCTGCGCCTCCCGGCCACATCCCGGCCGCCGCTCGCCGCCTGCGTCCGCAGCAACTCCAACCGCGCCGCCATCTCCCACCTGCACCGGCAGCTCTACGGCCGCCTCTACCCCGTGCTGCTGGTCAACACCGACGGCTCCACCGTCCGCCTGCGCTACAGCGAGCCCAAGAGGATCCTCATGGTACGGGGGCATGGCTGGGGAGAGGCTGGGGGCTCCCTGGGAGTCTCGCACAGCGTCCCGAGGGCTCATGCCATGTCCTGGTGGGCTCGTGTCACGTGCCAGGGGGCTCACACTGCGTCCCCTGGGCTCTCGTGCCCTGTCCCAGGGCTTGATGATGTGTCCTGGGAGCTCACA